GTGTGTGTGTGTATGTGTATGTGTGTGTATATGTGTGTGTGTGTGTGCGTGTGTGTACTCGCTTAGTAAGGGTGTGTACTCACCTAGTTGTACTCACCTAGTTGAGGTTGCAGGGGTCGAGTCCAAGCTCCAATCTCCTGGCCTCGCTCCTTCACTGGTCGCCACTAGGTCACTCTCTCTGAACCATGAGCTTTATCGTACCTCTGCTTAAAGCTATGTATGGATCCTGCCTCCACTACATCTCTTCCCAAACTATTCCACTTCCTGACTACTCTGTGGCTGAAGAAATACTTCCTACCATCCCTGCGATTCATCTGTGTCTTCAGCTTCCAACTGTGTCCCCTTGTTGCTGTGTCCAGTCTGGAACATCCTGTCTTTGTCTACCTTGTCAATTCCTCTCAGTATTTTGTAAGTCGTTATCATGTCCCTCCTATCTCTCCTGTCCTCCAGTGTCGTCAGGTTGATTTCCCTTAACCTCTCCTCGTAGGACATACCTCTTAGCTCTGGGACTAGTCTTGCGGCAAACCTTTGCACTTTCTCTAGTTTCATTACATGCTTGGCTAGGTGTGGGTTCCAAACTGGTGCCACATACTCCAATATGGGCCTAACCTGACCCTTCTGTCCTCCAGTGTCGTCAGTCCGATTTCCCTTAACCTTTCCTCGTACGACATTCCCTTGAGCTCTGGGACTAGCCTTGTTGCAAACCTTTGTACTTTCTCTAGCTTCTTGACGTGCTTGACCAGGTGTGGGTTCCAGACTGGTGCTGCATATTCCAGTATGGGCCTAACATACACAGTGTACAGTGTCTTGAACGATTCCTTATTAAGGTATCGGAATGCTATTCTCAGGTTTGCCAGGCGCCCGTATGCTGCAGCGGTTATTTGGTTGATGTGTGCCTCCGGTGATGTGCTCGATGTTATGGTCACCCCAAGGTCTTTCTAGAACCCTGAGTGAGGTCTGTAGTCTTTGTCCACCTAGCCTATACTCTGCCTGCGGTCTTCTTTGCCCCTCCCCCAATCTTCATGACTTTGCATTTGGCTGGATTGAATTCGAGAAGCCAGTTACTGGACCACATGTCCAGCCTATCCAGGTCTCTTTGCAGTCCTGCCTCATCCTCGACCGATTTAATCCTTCTCATCAACTTCACGTCATCTGACGTGACCCCTGTGGGACCCCGCTCGTAACAGGCGCCCACTGTGATACCTCTTCACGTACCATGACTCGTTGCTGCCTCCCTGTCAGGTATTCCCTTATCCATTGCAGTGCCCTCCCTTTTACATGCGCCTGATTCTCCAGCTTCTGCACTAATTTCTTGTGGGGAACTGTGTCAAAGGCCTCCCTGCAGTCTAGGAAAACGCAATCTACCCACCCCTCTCTCTCGTGTCTTACTTCTGTTACCTTGTCATAAAACTCCAGGAGGTTTGTGATACAGGATTTGCCTTCCATGAACCCATGCTGGTTTTCATTCATAATCTTGTTCCTTTCCAGGTGTTCGACCACTCTCCTCCTGATAATCTTCTCCATGACTTTGCACACAATACATGTCAGAGACACAGGTCTGTAGTTTAGTGCCTCGTTTCTGTTTCCTTTCTTAAATATGGGACTACATTAGCTGTCTTCCATTTCTCAGGTAGTTGCCCAGTTTCAAGGGATGTGTTGAAGATTGTGGTTAGAGGCACACACAGCATCTCTGCTCCTTCTCTAAGGACCCATGGGGAGATGTTGTCCGGTCCCATCGCCTTTGAGGTGTCAAGGTCACTTAAGAGCTTCTTCACCTCCTCCTCAGTTGTTCGTATGTCATCCAACACTTGTTGTATATTCCCTCTTGATGTTCCCTTCTGTGCTGTCTTCCCACAGCCCTTCCTGTCTCTACTGTAAAAACTTCCTTAAATCTCCTGTTCAGCTCCTCACATACCTCCTGATCATTTCTTGTGAGTTCTCCACCTTCTGTCCTTAATCTGATCACCTGGTCTTTGACTGTTGTCTTCCTCCTGATGTGGCTATACAACAGTTTCAGGTCAGTCTTGATTCTCGATGCTATGTCATTTTCATACTGTCGCTGGGCCTCCCTCCTTACCTGTGCATACTCATTCCTGGCTCTGCGACTGATCTCCCTATTTTCGTGTGTTCTCTGCCTTCTGTACTTTTTCCATTCTCTATTGCACTTTGTTTTTGCCTCTTTCCACCGTCGGGTAAACCAGGGGCTCGTGCTGGTCTTTCTGTTGTTACTGTTGCCCTTCGGAATAAACTTTTCCACTGCCTCCTTGCATTTTGTTGTTACACATTCCATCATTTCATTTACTGGCTTTCCTGCCAGTTCTCTGTCCCACTGGACCTCCCGCAGGAAGTTCTTCAACCCTATGTAGTCCCCTCTTTTATAGTCAGGCTTTTCCCATTCAACTCCTGTTATTCTCTCCACTTGCAGCTCTACTATGTATTCAAAGCACAGAACCACGTGGTCGCTAGCTCCTAGGGGACTCTCATACTTGATGTCCTCAATGTCTGAGCTGCCCAGGGTGAACACAAGGTCCAATCTTGCTGGTTCATCCTCCCCTCTCACTCTGGTAGTGTCCTTAACATGTTGGTGCATGAGGTTTTCCAGCACCACGTCCAGCATCCTGGCTCTCCATGTTTCGGGACCCCCATGTGGCTCCAGGTTTTCCCAGTCGATCTCATTGTGGTTGAAATCCCCCATAACCAGCAACTTTGCTCTGCTGGAATGAGCTCTTCTTGCCACCTCAGCAAGTGTGTCCACCATCGCTCTGTTGCTCTCTTCATATTCCTCTCTTGGCCTCCTGCAGTTCTGTGGTGGATTATACATCACTGCAATGACCACTTTGTGTTCCCCAGACTGAAGTGTACCTGCTATGTAGTCTCTTTCTCCCGTCTCATCTATGCCTTCCATTTTCTCGAATTTCCCTCTGTTTTTTACGATCAGAGTGTGCATGTGTGTATGTGTGTGTGTATGTGTGTGTGTGCTACAGCTATTCAAGTGCCTAACAGCAGATCCTCTTTTCACCTAGTGTGCGTGTATGTGTGTGTGTATGCATGCGTTTATGTAAGCAGTCCTTATTTTCCTCGTATGTACTACGTATGTTTTGCATATGTACACTATGTCTTGGTTTCCACTGTACTGTGTTGTGTGCATAAAATTACGTAAATTCACATAAAGGTGTGAAATCCTGTATGTGTGTGTGTGTGTGTGTGTGTGTGTGTGTGTGTGTGTGTGTGTGTGTGTGTGTGTGTGTGTATGTGTGTGTGTGTGTGTGTTGTATGTGTGTATGTATGTGTGTGTGTATGCGTGTGTTTATGTAAGCATTCCTTATTTCCCTCATATGTACTACATATGTTTTGCATATGTACCCAATTTCTTGGTTCCTACTGTACTCTCTTGTGCCTAAAACTATGTTCAATTCTGTATGCTAGGCTTTGCTAGGCTACCTCTCATACTAGGCTATCATTAACTGCTTAACTCTCCTAAACCTCAATAAATTCTATTAAATGCCAGTAAATGCTGCTTATTCTAATTCTGATAGCTCGAGGAGAGTGACCCCCAATTTCCAGCTAGAGACTGGTGCTGACCCCATGCAACTCAAACTAGGTGAATATTACGTGCGGCTGGCAGTGGAGTAATGTTGTCGTCCTTCTGGGTCCCAGTATGAAAATGCTTGATGCTTCTCGGTAATTTTTCCACTAACTTCCTGTAGGCACTGTAGTCTATAGCTCATCTATTTTTTTTCACTCACTGTATTTACTGACACATCTATACATATCTCTTATCTCCCTGATCTTGAGTCGCACTTATCCTTCAAATACCCCACTGCGTTATTATGGCAACACTATTTAGGGCTGACACAACCGTTCACCTTCCTTCCAACGGCCCCCACATAGTAACTGACACTATTTACTAAATTGCTTTTCTGTGATCACTTCTATTTCCTTTTTTCGGGGCTTAAGTGATTATATTCACTCTTATGCGTGCACACGCCTATATCCCACACTCTATTCCTTATGGTACAGTCAAAAATTACCACCATAACACGAGCTCAAACCGCGTGACTCCACGAGTGTGTGTGTGTACTCACCTAGCTGAGGTTGCGGGGGTCGAGTCCGAACTGCTGGCCCCGCCTCTTCACTATGTGTGTGTGTGTGTGTGTGTGTGTGTGTGTGTGGGTGAGTAACCACTCACACTCGTGAGGAAGAGTGTTAATTTTTTATATGTTTAAGCATTCATGTTATCTCAATTTTTTTAAAACATCGGAATGTATCGGACGTGTTTTCACTGTACCATAAAAATGTCCAGTACCCACCGATATCTATACTTTAGTATGTCACTAATAAACTTAACTTTATGGGTGGTTTTCTGATCATAAGATGCATCAGCTATTAAAAAGTGGAAGATTGAGACACTTATGCAACATATGGGAATCTTTATTTAGAAAACGCCACACAGTGGCTTCATCAGTCCAATACAAAGCAGAAAGGTGTAACTTGTCGGTTTTCAAACCATTCATCACAATTAAAAAGTGAAAATGTCCGGAGGAGGTAAATTGAAATTTATCTAACGTGATTTAACTGGAAATTAAAATTCAGGCTGTTTTACACCTAAAATTATTAAATCTTCACCTACTCACTTGAATCTGACTCTCCTCCTGATGGAGGAGAGTCAGATGGGAATGGCTTCAATAACTTTAGTCATTGGTCATTTGCAGACACCAGTTACTCCAGGAATCTACTAGTATTTATTGTACATAAACGTTAAAAAATTGAAGCCTATCTGATAAGACGTTCTCGTGTTATGAGCGAAAGAATTTGCGAAAAGTTGAATTAAAAAATGAAAAGAAAAGAGGAAAAAAAATCATTCAACCAAATAATTGTACAATTTTGGAGATATTTAATCAATTAATGAAATAAGTCAAGTAAATACGGGTAATGAAACGTATTATTTATTTGTAAACAAATAAAATATGTAATCTTACAATAATTATGGTTGTCTCCAGGAAGCAGATATAGGTCTTGGGCCTTTTGGTATGAGTGCTACCAGAGCAGAGATGGTAGACTTCACCAGAGAGATACTGACAGAGACAGCCAGGATTATGGGTGGTCGTGGGCGTCCAGAGGTGGATCCCTGGGGCTTCCTTCTGCCTCTCACACCGCTGGTCTGGTTGGCTACCTTCACAACATTGCTACTACTACCTACACTGGTCTACTTCATGTCACTCTCCGGTTTAAAAACTACTAGTACAAATGTCTGGTCGATTGACATGTTTTTTGTGTATATTAGCATATTTCTACAACAAGGTTGGTACAACTCTTAATTTACTCACAATAAAGCATTTTAATTAAGCCAAATGCAGTTAAGATTACTTTGTTTTACTCCCCCTTGCCTGAAGAGGGCCTCAAATAAAAGTTGAAATATATAGTTTTTCTTTGAAATTAACGCTATTGCCCAAAATTTTGATTCCTTTTTAATTATATAAAGGTGCTGCCTCACAGTTGATCATTTATTAAATTGTCGTTACGTATCATATTATCGTTTTAACAAATAGAAAATAACGTCATATAACGACAGGTACAATACATATTCATTGGCCACTTTATTAGGTACACATGTACATCTGCTTGTTAATACAAATATGTACTCAGAGAATCAAGAAATAACACCTCAGTGCCTAAAAGATGCAGACACCAGAATAGACAATAAATGTGATTTAAGTGACTTTGAGCGTGGAATGATTATTGATGCTAATCTACTGGGTCTTCATACACCACAGTCTAGAGTTTACAGAGAATAGTGGGAAAACAAAAACATGTAGTGAGCAGCAGTTTTGGGGACGAAAACGCCTTGTTATTGTGAGGGATCAAAGTAGACTGGCCAGACTGGTTCAAGTTGACAGGAAGGCAACAGTAAGTCAATTAACCAAGTGTTACAACAGTGGTATTCAGAAGAGCATCTTTGAACGCATAACACGGCAAACCATTAAATAGAGGGACTACGACAGCAGAAGACCACACAGAGTTTCACTCGACTCAGCTAAGAACAAGCAACTGATGCTGTAGTGGGCACAGGCTCACCAAAACTTGACAGATAAAATTTGGTAAAACATCGCCTGAATTTGGCATAAACCTTTGGAATATGATGGAACAGGAGATTCTAAACATAAATATGTAGCCCACAAATACTGCAGGAATTGCGTGATGCTATCAAGGCAACACAGATCAGGATTTCTAACGAATATTTCCATCACCTCGTTAAGTACGTGCGACGAAGAATTCGGTCTGTTCTGGGGGCAACTGGAGCACCTTAACCAGTACTAAAAAGGTGTACTTAACGAAGTGGTCAATGAGTAGATTTAATGGGCCAACAAGCATAAACAATTTTTTCATCCTTAGCTTAATGGAATATACCATTAATTTTTCATTATTATAGAATGCCTAATGGTTCCAAAACATTGGTGGGAGAGGCTGATGGTAGCAACGTGGCTAGTAACTATGTTCGTCATATCCAAGAGTTATGCTGGTAACCTCATGTCTAACTTAGCAGTGAGATACATCCCTCAGCCATACCAGTCACTTCGGGACGTGCTCGACGACCCCTCTGTCACCATGATATGGGAAACAAATACCGCCTATGTGCAGTACTTTCGT